TATAAATAAAAAGCATGAAGATAATAAGAGAAGAGGAGAGAGAGAGAGAGAGAGAGAGAGAGAGAGAGAGAGAGAGAGAAATAGTTGAGACAGTCCAAGAAAGATTCTGTGAGAAGATAATATAGCTGCTGAAACATGACTACTAGGAATGAGATAGTTCTGGAAAGATGTGATGGAAATGCCCTGAAAATATATTGAGGGTGGTCCCAGTAAGAAGGCTAAGCTGAGAATAAAACTGTCATGGAAGAACACAGAGAGAAAACCAATATAACTGCAGTTTGTAGGAGAAACAAGAATAGCAGGGAATTGGAAAACAATCAGGCCATAAGTTTCATTTTATTCTAAGTACATGGGAGGGATTTTAGAGAAAAAATTAATTTATAACACAATGTTGTCATTAAGAAAGGAGAGAAGGAAAGATTATGAGAAAAGAAAAAAAATGGAAATGAAGTCTATGTAAATAGGGAGGGGTGGAGGGGTGAAGGGCGCACAGGTAATGGGGAAAAAATAAGAACCAAGATACATCACGTACAGGTACAAACACCCAATGATAAATGTAAACATACTGTAAACCTAAAATGTACCAATAAAAGAATTTAAGCAAAAAAAAAAGAGAAGAAAGTAGAGAAAGGGTAAATACTGAAAGAAAAAAGAATAGCACTGACAGAAAATATAGAACATATTAAGTACTCAGTTTATGGTATATTAGCAAGAGCAAAAACATATTATCCACTGCCTTGTTAAGAAGGAAAAAATAAAAAAACTAACCTAATTGGGTTCCACTATTTATCTTGTTCAGAACATTTTCCTGCATTGCTCATAGTAAATTTGGGAGGTCAAATGGGTTTTAAAACACGTCCTACTGAAGTAAGACTTTGGGCTTTTCCAGGATATGGCATCAGTGCTGTGGGAATTTGCTGCCCAATCAGAGTACAGTTTGTCAGGCAGCAATTCTTAGTACTTTTTTTCTCATGACATCCTGCATGGAATCTGTGGAACTACAGTGATATAGTGACAAAACTATAGTACATAGTGACAAAATGCCAGATATAGTACTTTAGGACACCATCTTTAATGTACTCTACAGTCACAACTGCTGTAGTCTAAGAGACAAACTCCAAGTCATCATTGTGTAGGCTGAAAGGGTAGTGAGTTCTCAAACAGAAAATATAACCATTCTGAAGATGTTTCCAGAGGTATAGGATGCATGGTTTATACCAGTGGTAAACAATCATACGCCCTATCCAGTGCAAGTAAACTAAACATAATTGTTGGGAAATTCCACGACTTTCCAGGAAGATGATGGAATGGTGAGCAACAAACAGCCACTTTGATATCTGGAATCCATATGCTGGAATACAGCAACATGGGGAAAAGACAGAGAAAGGAAGTGGGTCCCCAGGACCCAAGGATTTAAATTGAGAATTAGAGCACACAGGGAGAGGGAAGAGAAGGGCCACAGTTAAGAAGAGGAAAATGAAAAAAGTATTGCTTTCTCTCTGAGTCCCACCTCACAGTGTGGGAGGGGCAGCTCAAATCTGCAGAGGCACAGTGACTACTGGCCATCCCAGAGGCCTCCATGGAGAAATGCATCAGTGGAACAGAGTGGATACAGCAGACTGCAGTGGCTGGTGTGTTATTAAGGTTCACACACCCCCTAAGAGAGGGTGATTGGCTTGTGCCATTTTGGAAAAGAGATTGCTGAAGTCAGAACTCAGAGCACCTGCGGGCTGGCTGCATCTAGCAAATCTCAGTGTCAGGGTGAGGTGGAGCCAAATTCAAACAGGCAGGAGATCAGGGAGATGAGTTCAAGCACACAGAGTACCAATTTCAAGCCAGCAGGAGGAACTTGGAGTGTTATGGGCTGAACAATTGCCATCATCATCACCAGAAACCAGAAGCAGCCTGAATTTCAGTGTAACTAAAGGCCCAGGTTTGCTGGTATTATCCACCACCACCATGATTCTGGTGCTGACTTGCTGGGATCTAGCAACATAGATCTGGGCTCTATCTGCCCCCTCTGTCTGCCAGTGACAACAGAGACATGTGATTTTTTTAAGAGACATTGAAGCGAACATTTGATTTTTTTTTTTTTTTTGCTTTGCTTCCTTTCTTTTATTTTTAAAATTATTTTAAATTTTTTCTATTTTGTTCTTTTTCTTGATTATTTGTTCTTGTTTTAAGATGAGTATGAGTATTGTTGCTAGTTATTATTTTAGTTTTGTTGTTTTTGTTTCCTCCTTCCTTCTTTCCCTCCTGTCTTCACCAGTTCCCAAAGCTTTGTCTTCCAACCTTGCTTCTAATATCTTTCTCTTTTCTTAATTCTCTATTTTTTCTCTAACTTTCTTTAAATGTTCTACCTTGAGGGTAAAATCATCATATTGGTAGGATATTTACTGTACGCAATTTTCTGGTTTGTTTTAGATTTTTTACATATATAACTGCAAATCTTGTTCATACAGTTAAAGGTGGCAAACAGTTTGACATTTTCTATGGTGTGTTTAATGCTTTTTTTTTTTGTGGTACCAGGGATTGAACTCAGGTCCTTGCGCTTGAGAGGCAGGTGGTGCAACCACTGAGCTAAATCCCCATTCCTTAATGATATTTTTGTTACTGATTGTACTACTTTAGCCAAGGTGATGTAACTGTTCTAATCCATTGTTCATTCTCGTATTCAAAGAAAAAGATTGCCTGAGGGTCATAAACAATATTATAGGCCATTGTCAAAAAACCGATGGCTTGGTCAAATAAGCAGCAATTTCTCATCCCCAATAAATTAAAGAGGTAGGATATTGCAACAGACTCAAAACCCAAAAGCCAGCTATACCTGGAAGACTTCTCTAAGAAGCAATCATTTCTTAGGAATTCTCAATATTAATGAAAAAAGATACCTATCATAAACAATTTACAAGCATCAATGCAAGAAATAAATTAAGCAAAGAAAACAATAAAATGAGATTAGAAGCAAGATGCACCCCCAGACTTCTAGCTCACTAAAGGCAAACCTAGGGGGTAATGAGGTACAATTTGAAAGCCACCCATCTGGCCTCTCTGCAGTGGTAACACCAGAAGTAATAAAGCAAATGAATAAGGGTCTAGAAAAAAATCAAATCAGAAATAATTTCTTAGATAACTTCAGAGATGTTGACCATAATGAATGACATGATTAGTGAATCTAGAAAAGATGCAGATAGAAAATAGAAGAGAAAATAATAGAAACTATAAATGTCCAACATGGGAAAGAAATAGAATCCATGAAACAGATTCAATCAGATATCAAAGAGATTAAAAATTCTACTGAAGTGTACACAGCAAAATGAACCAAGGTGAGGACAGAATATCAGACCTAGAAAACATGATTGCAGTTATTGATCACGAAAAGAAAGATTTCTTAAAAATAGAATGGGATCAGGGCTGAGGTTTTAGCTTAGTGGTGCCGTGCCTGCCTTGCAAGTGCAAGGTCCTAAATTCGATCCCCAGTTCCAGAAGAAAAAAAAAATAGCATGGGATCATGAAAAATCAATCCAAAAACTGCTAGATGATGCAAGGAAGTCTAACATAAGATAAATCAGAGTCAATGAAAAATCAACAGATAATGGAAATAACATTAAAAAAAAACCTGTTGACAGAGTAATGGCAGAACACTTCCCAAGCATGGAAAAAGAATTTGAGATACAGATAAGTGAGGCATGTAGAACTCCAATTAGCCATGATAAAAAAAATATACCCCAAGGCATATAATAGTCAAGATTCCAGAAATAGAATACAAGAGCAGGATGTTAAAAGCTTTTAGAGAAAAGAAACAAATCACCTATAAAGGCAAACCCATCAGAATCACAGATGTGTCAACAGTAACTCTTAAATAGAGAAAAGCTTGGAGTGAAATATTTCAAGCTCTAAAAAAACACAACCTCCAACCCAGATTGATGTACCCTGCAAAACTATCTTTCAAAATTGAAGGAGAAATGAGATACTTTCATGACAAAGAACACCTGAAGAAATTCATGACCACCAAACCAGTACTCCAAAATGTTCTGAAGGACATTCTAGAAAGAAATAATGAAGACTACAACTCAATGAACTCCAACAGAATGAATCCACCAGACAAGGCAAGTAATTAAACAGAGGGAAAAGAAAGGGAACCAACAACAGGAAAATAACATGACAAGCATAAGTCAATACATATCAAACTAGCAAAGTAAAGGGTCTCCATTCACCAATCAAAAGAAACAGACTGGCAGAATGGATCGACTGCAGTTAGGAATTTCTACTAAAAAGGCTGAGGTTTTCCATATTTGGAAAGCACTGGGCTTAAGACTGGTCTAGGACAACTTGGCTGGGACAACTGGGTTCATTTCCAAGTGATAGCTTTTATCTCCCAGCCAACTGGGCCAGATTTGTTTGCACAGAGTTTACTGTGTCCAAGAGGAAAAAATATATAAAGTTTCATATGGCAGGGCTCAGAATGGTACAAAGTCCCTTAGGAGTCATATTGGCTAAAACCAAATCATGAGGCCAGCTCAGAGTTAAAGGAAAGGGCATGAATATAAGGAGATCAATGATTATGTTCATCAATAAAATCAGTATTGTATTAAGTGTTTCACAACAGATTAGAAAAAATTCACAAAGATACCAACTAAACATATAATTGTGGTTACTCGGTACTTTAAAATTAAAGAAACTAAGTGAACTTCCTGTACTTTATAAACTTTGCCATAACTTAATTTTAATGGCATACATCTATAATTCGTTTAAGTAAAAGATTTTCTTCCACATTTAACACAAAAATGCACACAATCTAATAAATAAACAAGACCCATAGAATTGACAAATAAACAGTAACAGTGGTAGGAGTATAATATTTTTCACAGTGCTGAGTCAGTCTTTCTTTGCCCTGATCTTTAGAAAATCCATGTGACCTAGGTTGAGAAGCCATCAGTGAAGTGAGGAGTCCTGACTACGTCAAAGCTGGGAGTGGCACTGAGACAAATAGAGGCTTAGTCAAATTTATTAATAGTAAACTAAAACACAAACTGAACACCGAACACCGGCACTTGTGGTCTGTGTATGAATGTGTATGTGTTCGTTCTGATAACTTTGCTATATCCACTAGGAAAGTTACGTATAGAAAACGATGCCTGATTTTATCCTGGAAAACAGAGAATTTGAGAAGCTGGAGTTTCCCATTTAGGTTGCATCAACACGCTATTTGTTAACAGGAAAGGAAAAAGGCTTTTGAGTGCTTTCGCTTTCATTGTTTTTCCTGCCCAGAGAGCTTGGACAGCCATGGCCGGTGAGTAGCTTCACTTTTTCTCCGTTTATGGCTGTGTTTTAGGGAGTTAGACCTCAGCTCAGAAAAAAGAATGAGGCAGAGAGAGAGATTTACCACATAGAAAAGTGTTTTTGTCTGGGGAGTGGGGACAAAAAGAGTTATGAAAGCTTGGGGCGCATCAGGGGCTTTGTGAACAAAGTATTCCAGTTTATATTTTACAGCTTCTTAAAAGAAAGGTAAATGTAAATAATCCAGATGTAAGTCCCTTAAATTTTTCTGTGATGTAAGGCTTTTCTTTTGACACATATTGTCCTGAAACTCTCACCCATTCTTATGGTGAGAGGCCATGAAGCTGAACATAGTAACTTACATTTCTTCCTTATTTCCACTCTCTGTATTTGCTTTCATTTTCAGCAGCAAGCAAATGAGCTACAGTTTGTGTTCTTAATCTCTGAGCACAGGAATGTCTGTCAGCCATAACAATAGAAATAAAAGAAAATATTATTTTACAGATGTGATATCTTTATGTTTTATGGCTACACATGATGGATATTATGTCTTAAGTTTATTACTATATTAAGAAAAAAAAGAAAGTAAAAGGATCATGGATGCTAAAAAGAATGAACCCATCAGCTACCCTTAAGTTGTTTTTTGAACTTAATTCCCTTCTCTGAACCTCAGATTCTCAATTTGGAAAACAGAGGAGGTTAGCCTGGGCATAGCACCACATGCCTGTAATCCCAGGACTCTGAAAGCTGAGGCAGGAGGATCACCTAAAGTTTGAGGCCAGCATGGACTACATAGTGAGTCCAAAGCCAGCCTGCCCTGCAAAGCAAGACCTTATCTCAAAAACAAACAAACAAAAAAGAGAAGGAAAATTGTTTGAATTGAAAGTTTATGGGACTTATCCTGATCTATCAAATAAGAATTTGGGGAAATGTGATAGAGAAAGCTCTTCTTATCAAGTTTTCCAGGTGATTATTAATGCACATTAAAATTTGAGAATCAGACGAGTTACATAAAAATGATACTTCTGCCTGGGATTTAGCTCTGTGGTTCTGCCACCTGCCTCACAAGTGCAAGGTCTTGAATTTGATCCCCAGTACCAAAAAAAAAAGATACTCCTGAGTAGATGTTTCTCAAAGGATTATAATTTTAAATAATTGCTAGTTTTGGCATGTTTGATATTTATTGATTTATTTACATTGAATGGTGTTTGGCATTAAAGTCATCAAGAATCATGAAAAAAAAAATTGAGAATCACTGGCCTGGAATTGAATGTCTAAGGTTCTGTCCCTATCTAATATCTATCATTCTCACAGCTAAGGGACCACTTGATGAAGAACCACTCGATAATATAAAATCTGTTGTCAAGAACCTGTTTGAGGGAATTTTTGATGACTTTGGAAAAGATGTATTAAACAAAAAGGAATTGCGCAAACTAAAGAAAGATGTAAGCCTCATTGTGAACAACACTGAAAACCTGGTTGAGGATATCATAGAAAAAACTGAAAAGGCAGGCAAACTATTTGCCAACCACTTCACAAGTTCCAAGAAACAACTGAGATTAAGTAAGTAGTTTCAGTCAAAGGCCTAATAACTCTTTCTTTCTCTACTGTTCTTGTGTACTTTCTGGTTTTATTCTCCCACTTACAGGCACAGAATAAACTGTTCCCATCAATAGGAAATTTTTGCTTCATTATTTATTCTAATAGCACATTGGACCCTGACCTACACCAATATTTTATACTGTTGCACATTTCCCTTTCCCTTTAACAATTATCACCCTTAAGTATACCATAAAATTTATGTATTCATTATATAATTATCTTCTTGTAAAATATAAGCTCCAAAATACAGGGATCTTTGCCTTATATTTTTCATGAATACATCCTAAACACATTATAAATGGCGTCTGACTCACAATAGGTGCTCAGAAAAAACTGGTAAGTGAATGAAAGGCTGTTTAGAATTCAGAGATGCTTCAGTGGAGAAAAACTCACCATCTTTTGTGTCATAGGTCCTGGAAGAAAATTCTGGAAATTTGGATTTCTATTAGTTAGAAGAAGACACAGAATTTAAGTTATTGTTTGCTTCTAGATAGAATGTAGGATGACACAACTTTTCCAAAAAAATAGAAAATATTTTAAGCTTTGTTGTTAGTGGTCTCCTTCATGACCAAGATCTGCTATTGTGGCATAAGAGCATCAATAGAATATGCCATGAGTGTTGAAGCATTTCAATAAAACTTTATTGTTTATTTTGGCTTCCAGGTTATTGTTCACGGACCCCAATCTAAAGTATAATATAGAAATGAGTATATCTAAATTTTTATAGTATTCCTTTAGAAATAATTTTGTTGTTGTTCAAAGATTACCTAACTTTTCTACAGACATACATCTCTTTCAGAGAATAGTAAATCCTACCACCAACAAGACTTGACTAAAAATTTTTATTATTCTTTTAACTATATAACCAGGAAGCTAAATGAGTTCCTCTTTGTTTCACAGAAACTCTGCCCCCTTTTCCACTGGAAAACAACCTCTGAAACATGTGGAATTGGAAAACTGACCAAATCTTCATGCTTCACAGAGGAGTCCTATGCTAGGCGTGTTCATTTACTTAGCAGTGCAATGGAGACAGTTTGACATGTATATGTTCTAGAAATCTAGTACTGCTGACAAATCCATTTTTCATATTATTTCAGAATTTCATGCTGAAAGTGATGATGAATCTGAAAAAAGTTCTACATCCTCCTCCTCTTTGATAGGTAACTAATTGCCTCCAAACCCCAGACAACAAGCAAAAACTTTCAGAATTTAATTCTCATGAGAAAGTATCTCAGTAAAACCTAGAAAACTTGTTGTCTTAATCGATTTTTATCATTGGAAATAACTTTCAGAGTACTACATAGCACTGATTTTTAGTGTTTTGTTCATTTCTATTTCAGCATCTGAAAATGAAAGTAAAGAAAGTAGAGATGAAGAAAATGCTATATCAGCTGAGTCATTGGCTATCTCTCCAACAGGTAACCACTAGCAAATCCAATGCTTTACGGGAACCCTTGGGCATAAGTTTAGGGTGAGGTAGCTTTACGGGGCTCTTCATGATGGTGAAATGACCACTGAATTGAGGTTCAGACAATATAGGTTTCCCTCACTTCTGCCTCTAAGAATGTTCCTCAAAAATATGGTTACTATTTAGTTCCCTGCTCTTTATTTCTTAGAATCCAGAAAAAAAAAAAAGTGAAAGTAAAGAAATGGAGGAGAATGCTGATATGGCCCAGGCATCAGTTCTAAAGCTGATAGGGAATGTGTATCCCAAGACACATAATGACATTATGTGAGCTAAGCGGATTTTAAAAAGCCTTTATGAAATCATGGAAACTCCACAAAGAACTTGAGTAGCAGTCAAGAAAGCTATCTACACAACCACTAGCCATGTGCTCTGGTGTTTATATACTAGAACAGTAGATATGGTGTAGATTAGTGAGAAGAAACTCACATTTTAATGAGATTAGTAATACCTTTAAATAAATAAAAAATAAAGATACAAGAAACTATTAACTGTGAAAAATAGGATAGGGATATGATTATAAAAAGCATTTACAAAGCTCACTATGAGGGACACATAGAGTAATAAACTAAATTGCTTAATTATTGAGGTATATTAAAGAATACTAGTATCAAGAAGGGGGTTATAATATTATTATTTCCTGAATACCATTATTTCATAAATTCTGAAGAAATTTACAAAGTAATAAAACATGGGAATTTTTTCATGGTTGTCTGTATTCAGCACACAGTAATCAAAAACTCAAATTGCTACACTCAGTGCTAGGTTTACATGGCAGTAAATAAGGAAAATCAAGATCTTTCTGGTATTAAGGGTAGATATATAATAACTGTAAAAAACTGTATTTTCAGAGTATGTGTACAAGAATAGAGGATCAGATACTCCAGAGAAAGAGATAGTGTATGCAGGTGGAGAGTGAGGAGGCTCAGGGGAAAGAAAGTGGTGCAGGTGGCTATTTATCAGGAGGTACTGAGTGATGCGGAAGAGGTTGTGCCAAACTCTAAGTAAAAAGGGGAACAGAAGGGGCCTTATCTGTAGGAGGTTAAAAGGGATGGCCAATCTAGGTGTAAAATAGGAAATTAGGAAAAGTTTGATTGGTGGAGCTATAAAATAGATCTGAGACCTTCTGTATAGGCTGTTTTGCCAATGACGAAGGATTTGGGATGTTATTTGCAATAGAAAATCTTAGAAGGTTTTGTTTTATTTAGATTTAAGCATTACACAATGTATACATGTATTAAAATATATATTCAATAAAATGTTATGTTTTCATATATTAGTTAAAATAAATTTTAAGAGATAACAACTTTGAGATTGAGGTTATAATTATAAAGATCATAGCAAGTGTTTAATTTACTAGTAGTTTGAGTACAGAATAAGAAAGGAAGGACTCAAATTCTTGTTTTGGTTTGCCAGCTGTGGGAGTGGTACAATCTACTGAGTTAGAGAAAACTCGTAGTGCACAGGAAAGACAGATTTGTAAAGGAAGAAAAAATCAGTGACTTCCTTTGTACATGTGTAGCTGAAACATGTGTTATCTCCAAGGGCAGAGAATGAATATGCAGGTGGATGTTCAACTGCAGAGTTCACAGAGAAATCAGGGATGGGAATGAATCTTGAAATCATTAGTGTACAGAGGGTATTAAATTATAACAATGGAAGATGCCAACTCAGGGGAAAAAAACATTGATAGACAATATCAGAGATCCCAAAGTAGAGCAACCCAAATTTTGGAGTTATAGCAAAGAGAAAGAAGCATCAATGAACACGGCTTTAGGAAGAATGGCTGAAAATCACAGCGTTACAGAAACCTAAAAAACACTGATCAAGAAAGGGGATGTATTTTCCCATGTAAAATGGTTAATGAACAACAAATGATAGGTGGTAGCTTTCCTAAAAAGTATTTCATTTAAGTGATGAGGATAGCAGACAGATTGAATTGCACAGAAGGAAAACATTAAAAAAATGATGAGAATAGATAATGCCTTATGGAATTGTGCTGGGAAGTGAAGCAGAGAAATGTAAAAATAGTTGGAGAAGAAACAAGGCCAAGAGAAATTTTCTTAAAAAGAAGCTTAATGTTAAGTTATGCTGATATGTCAATGGGGATAACAGTGCAAAGAAAGGGCAAAATTGATAATGTAGAAAGGGGATGAATAAATATCTGAACAGAATCCTTGTGGGCTAGGCTGGATGAAATTCACAGCATGAGGACAGCAGTTGACCTTAGAAGGAAAAACATATCTTTGCAGTAGAATGGAAAATAAAATAAGTGGGTAAACTTGTAGGTAAATAGATAGATTTTTTTGATTACCAAGATAAAATAACACATGCAAAAATATTATAGGGAACAGAGGGTTTGGTACTTTAAAGAAAAACAATAACAAAACAGAGATATTTTCAAGTATTTGAAGCTCTTCAGTAATGAAGAGCTACAAACTTCTAATCTTCCCAGATAATCATTTTAGATACTGAGAATACAGAAATGAAAGACATTATCTTGTCCTAATTACTTTACAGTACACTAATCACAATTAAAACACAATGCAAATTACTACTTATATGGGACATTCACATTTAAGAATGGAAACAGAGGGCCGGGGATTTAGCTCAGTGATTTCGCCGCCTGCTGCGCAAGCGCAAGGACCCAAGTTCGATCCCCAGCACCAAAAAAAAAAAAAAATGCAAACAGAAAAAAGACATATTGAACACATGAAAGTATTTTTGAGCTGTCATTAGGAAAGGGATTTGATGTATTCTGAATGGTCACATTGTGATTAATGCATATAATTTCCTAGAGGGTACATATTTTATGATACAGAATTGTCAAGAATGGTGTAGAATAGTGTAGGTTACCTGTCTAGGGATATTGTAAATAGAGCTCAGAGTGTTAATAAGGAAACAGATATTTGAAATGGAGTTCAAACATTTGAAAAGTGATTTGACTAAGCTACATGAACATTAATCTTCTTTTAAAATTTTAGATTCTATATTTATGTGACTCTGTAGGATTGGATTAGTAAGACTAGTCAATGCTGTGACCACTAGATAAACATAGAAATTTATAGTGTTGTCAGTAATAAGCAGAAAAGAAAGGAAGGGGGAGGAGAGTTCTCAAAACTTTTGTTTTAGTTAAATAAGAAAGGATTTTATTATTTTATTTTACTTTTAAGTGGAATTGTAGTAAGCATTCCTGACAAATGAGAATAGATTTACCTGATGACAAGGCAATATATGTTATTACTTAATGAGTTTTTTTTTTTTTTTTTTTCTGTTTCTCTTTTAGTTCTTCCGGAAACCCATGGTGCCCAGTCCAATGATACATTGAAGCTTTGCCCTCGTGATCATTTTCATAAGCTGAAGACAGAAAAGTCAGATAAGGTGATATGGTTTGGAATTGGGAGACAGAATATTGTGAATTCAAGCAAGACACTGGGGAGACAATGAATGTTTTAGATCTTGTAAAAACATCTTAAAATCAAGACAAAGGGCATTGGTTACATCTAGTAAAGTGGTCTTCACATTGGATTCCCCATTTCTTATATCTCATGCTGAAACACACTCTCTACTAGTCTCTACCACCTAACCCAAACCAAGTTCTTACAGAGAATGAATACTCAGACCTAGCATGTGTTTTCACTTTGGTGCTTTGTTTTTCTTCTCATGAGGGTATATTTCATTGCCAATCTTTCTGTCATCTATTTTATAATTATACTGGCTTGTTTTGTTTGAACTTTGGTGGCAGAATGGAAGGACCTGGGTTAAGTCGTTCTCTCTCTACTAATTACAGATATATCCCGTAATGGAGAAGGAAGGCCGAACCCGCCTAGCCCTCATCATCTGCAACAAAAAATTTGACTCTCTTTCTAATCGACATGGTGCTGATGTTGACCTTTTGAGAATGCAAGACCTCCTTGAAGACCTTGGATATTCAGTGGTTGTAAAAGAGAACCTAACTGCTCAGGTAACAGTTCTAAAAAGTAGAATAAGCTTCTTTCCTTCTTACACAATTTTCAGCCTCTTCCTGGGCAATGGAAAGAACAAAATATATCATAGTATAGGAATTTTTTTGCTCCAGAATGGGACCCCCTGGATCTCAGACTTCTTCAGTGTACAATCTCATAGCAAATATTTAGACAATTTCTGTAGAGGAATATTTCACTAGAAATGTTAGGTATTTCAGAAATTTCAATCTGCGAGGTATCTATTAGTTGATGGTCTTCATAAGACACAAAATGTGAGCTTTGAAACTAGCTGATATTTACTAAATGGACTTGTGAGTCCTAATAATGCCAAATTCATGTGTCTAACTGTAAAGATATGTAAAGTAGTTGTGATTCTGATTCTGTCACAGTACCCTGGGAAGCTTTAGACAAATAATTTTAAACCTAACATTCAGCTATTCCATGATGAAGAAATTTGGTACTTTTAATTTTTGTCAATGGAAAAGTCTCTGTCTGCCTGTCTTTCCTTTTTTTTATGAAAACCTATAGCAATCCCATTGTAATACAAATGAAAATAAATTGAGCCTGTAGGAAACTAGTCATCTCACTTAGCCTCATTATATCCTATCTCTCAGTTTCTTCAGAAACTTGAAGTTCTACTAAAGAAACTCTGGAGTAGATGGTATATAAAAACGCTACTAACTTTTATACCCTGTATACCTACATTGTCTGAATTTGTACCACAATACTATTGCTCTTATAATTCCATTCAGTCAAAATCAGCTAATTCTTTAGTTCTTATTCATTTTTGTGAAATCTGTCTCCTATGTGCATATAAACTATATATGGAAAGTTTCTCCAAAATGACTCTGGATCTTTTCAGGGAATGGAAACAGAGCTAAGGCTGTTTGCTGACCATGAAGACCACCAGTCATCAGATAGCACATTCCTAGTGTTTATGTCACATGGCATCCTGGATGGAATTTGTGGGACAAAACACAGTGATAAAGAGCCAGATATTCTTCGTGATGACACCATCTTTACGATTTTCAACAACCATAATTGCAAGAATCTGAGAAACAAACCCAAAATTATCATCATGCAGGCCTGCCGAGGCAGTGAGTCTGAGTTAGAACCCCAGGGAGTGGCCTTACAGTTATCTAAGACTGGTTTCTAACATTAATTTTCCCAGAGATGGGTGAGCAAAGCAACAGGTTAATATTCTGCTTAAATCCAGCCCAGACAGGTTAAAAAATAATAAGTAGCCTAGCATAATAAGAAATGTCTCAATCGTTTGGGACTAGGATTATTTCAAACCAGTGAGGTACTTTCTTTGGAGTGAGACACACACACACATATATGTGTATATATACACAAACACACATATATATGTCTTACTACTATATGTATATACACATATATATGTCTTACACATATATGTGTGTCTTACTACTAGAAAAAGTACCTCACTGGTGTACTTAAATATATATACATACATATATATACACATACATATATGTGTATACATATATCTATATATATCTAGATAGATAGATATCTAGATAGATAGATAGATAGATAGATAGACAGATAATGTAGGTACCGGGGATTGGGACCTTAAGATACTTATATTTTAATAAATACCATGATAAAATGTACTAAAGTAAGGCATAATGATGAGAATTACACTGTGTGTATGTAAATGTCACATAATATCACATATTTCATTAGATGTGATGTCTTTCTCAGGTGGTGATGGAATCGTCTGGGTGACCACTGAGAGGGGTGAAGCCATGGCAGACACACATGGTCTTCCTATGCAGTATTACGGATATTATGGACGGAGTGATGCTGTCACAATGACCCATGTCGAAAAGGATTTCATTGCTTTCAAATCTTCCACTCCGCGTAAGTGACTTCACAGAGGAGACTCTTCAAATATACTAGTTTCTATATGGCATGCTTGGCTGTGATCATGTCTTATTATTGAATATTTGTACTCTACTTAATTAGATATTCTAATTGAAGGACAGATTTAAAATACTGAGAACCATAAAACTTGATTTAGAAGGAAACTTTCAATGTAAGTAGGACTTCAGTGAAAGTCTAGACTTAAAAGAGTTTCAAAAAATAGTTAAAACTCTTAAAAGAGTTCAAAAGTAAAAGCTGTTTTGATTTGTTCTTCAAATACAGGAATGACACCGAAATGCATCATTTTCCCATGATTTGGCTCACCCAATTACCTAATAGCAATTAAACAACCCAACTAGTGAAACTATTAGGCCCGCTCCTCACAGACTCCTACCTCTTGGTCTGTTGTTTGAAACTCTTCTGAGGAAAATGATATTAAAATACCTACCTACAGGTTAATATACCCAATGAATGAAAGTCCAATCTTCTTTGAGAGGAAAGTCATAGTAGATGGTATAGGTAGATCATAGACATAGAGAATAATCTTGCTTATCCCTGGTTCACCTCACAGAAAAAAAACTTTTAACAGCCCTTCACAATATTGTTCTATCAAGAATTTAGATAAGGCAATTTTTAAAACCAAGTACACACAGTTTGTAGTTCTAAGTGCTGTGACTCAGTAACTATAAGCTTAATAATCCATTAAGGATCTCTTTAAATGTAGATTTCTGATGCAGTATGTCTGGAGTGGGTCTTGAGACTCTGCCTTTTAAAAATCTCCATTGTGAAACCCACGTTGTTGTGCATGGCCACATGTGAAGGGGTAAGGATTACTGGACTCTGAGTCTAATTGGGGGAATAGGAAAAAGGCCATGCAAAAAATGCCCACCTGATCATGTGAAGAGTAACACACAGAACTGTATGACTACTATTTGTTTTGTTTTTTACTATTTGTTTTATATATTGTATTTTTAATAAGATTTTATTTAAAGGAAGAGTTCTTTGATTTTAGCTGGTAAACTAAGCTGAAAAGTCATATGAGGCCTGATGCATACTCAGAAAAATTATTTAATTTCATTGAGAAAATAAAATCTAATATGAAAAATTCTTGTATTTCTTTTCTATGTGTATAATCACATGGTGGGAACAGGCTAAGTGCAAGGCACATGCTACACAATTAAAACAGAGAGGATTACTGACACTGATGGAGTTTATAATAGGGCTAGAGAGGCAAAAATTAATTGGTAAAAAACACAGACACATCAAAACAGAAATGAACAAAGACTGTCAACTGTGATTAGTGCTTTCAATAAATACTTGTGTCTAGATTTATAAGATTTTAAAAATTGCATTAATGATAAAAGAAATATCCTGACCAGGAAAAACACTGTGAATAGAAGACCTGAGAAATACAAGATCTTGGAGAAGAGGTCCAGGGTGGTCAGAGCCCAGATCTAAGGAACAGGAACAGTAGGGAAACCAGAGAAAGAGATGGGAGCCAGAAAACTGGAGGCCTTGTATGACTTTTTATACTAACAGTAACAGAAAATTTTGGTGGGATTTAAGAAATGATATAGTAAGATCATTTTCATTTTTAAATGAGCTCTCTGGAAGAATCTGTGGAAGTGAATTACAGTATAGAAAAAGTAGATATAGAAAAACAGGCTAAATTTTATTGTAATATTGCCAGTCAGAGATGATAACAATAGTTGGAGAATGAGGTAAATTGTTAAATATAAAAGGAAATTCATATATAACATTAATAATGGTGGTTTATTGGATATGGTAGTAAATAGAAAGAGAGGACAGAGATGACTTAGTTTATAAGTAGACGATTGTATATACTCATTTAAACAGAAATCTTACAAAAAGCTTTGAGATGGCTGTAGCATGTATGAAGCCAAAATAAAGAATAAAGTGTTTCATAATTGTGTGTCTCAGAAAAGAGATCTACTTTGAGATTGAATTTTGGGAGACAGTGGGCTAATCACATTTAATAAACTAAGAATGGATGAAATTATCTAAGAATTGAGAATAATGTAAGATGAATCCTAGCCTGAGACTTGAAGAACTCTAGAGCTCAAGATCAGAAATGGAAGAATTAGCTAGAAAGTTGAACTCATCAAGTAGGGTCAGAGAATAAGAAAGAAAACTAGGAGTATGTATTTTCAGAAACAGCAATAAAGACTTTTTTGGACTTTGGATTCTGATGTGAATATCATTTCAAGCAAAGGTGAGATCTGATGAACAACCATGAGATTTAGTGATTTGGAGGTCACAGATGACCTTGGAAAAGGCCTGTTTTGTAAAGCTGGTGTGTGGAGTAGGTGGAAGAAGACAGACAGAAATGAACAGAATGGGAGGAAATGCACATGGACAGTATAGATATATTTGAAAAACGAGTATAAAAGGGAAGGAGAAATAGGGGGATATTTGTAGATAAATGGTGGTTAGGGGAATATTATCTTTTATTTTAAATAATAATAGAAATTTAAACACCTTGGAATAGTAAGAAGAAATAGTCTTTCAAAAGGTTTTTATGCAGTAGAAACAAGTCAAGATGAAGAGAAGCCCAAGAATCAAGGAACAGCGACTTTGATTCTTTTTTTTTTTCTATTATGCAGCTAGTGCTGGTAGGACTCAGTGCTCTTTTCTACTATACACAACCCTACCGGCTATAACTTTGGCCTTGCCTACTAAGAAAGCCTAGAAGATTAATGTTTGAGGGTCCATGAAGGTTTTATCTATAGAAACCTGAGGTCATAGTTTTACCAAGTTTATCACTTTCTCTTTTCCAAAGCATCAAATTATACTTTGTCTCAAAGCTTTTGTCTCAATAGACTTCCATGCTTCTACAAAAGCTACATTCCCTCACGGTTTTCATACGTTTATTTCAGATAATGTTTCTTGGATACTAGACACTACTGGCTCTCTCTTCATTTCTCAACTCATCTACTTCATCAAAGAATACTGCTGGAGTCATCATTTGGAGGAAATTTTTCGAATGGTAGGGGTTTTCTTTTCTTTTCCTTCGTCCACCTTAAAAATTTTAAAGAATCATTTGCAGACCATTTTTAAAACTACTAAAGTATTGTCTTCCTGATGCTACATCCTTTACTTCATGCTTACTTAAATAGGAAGTGTTTAATAATTTCACATAGAACCAGTTTGATTTTTCTAATAACATCTGATTGTCATAGTATTTCTCACCCAGGAAAATTATTTTAAGGGTTCTAGTTCATTTGTGTCTGTACCATATCCAAGGAAAAGCTAAAAATATCTTTACACTGCCTATCAACAGTTTTTTTTTTCATCAAGTTTATTGGTGTATTTTAAGTATACAATACACTTACATTCATCATTGAGATCTTGTACCTTTACATGATGTATCTTGGTTCTTATTTTTTCCCCATTCCCCTACCCTCCCTTCATCCCCTCCACCCTTCCCTACTTACAAAAACTTTGTTTCCATTTTTTCCTTTTCTCATATTTTTTCTTTTCCCTTCTTTTCCTTCACCTACCCCTCCCACTCCTCCTACTCGTTTAGGTCTCTTTTTCCTATTTCACAATATCAATTATACATTTTGATCCTTATTTACACTTTTAGTTTTTCACACCAGAGAAACTATTTGGTATTTACACATGTTTGTCCTGTTTATTTCACTTAAGAGTATGGCCTCAATGTGCATCCACTTAGGTATAAATGACTCTAGTTTTTTTATGGCTGAGTAGTACTCCATTTTATTAAAAAAAAAACACATCTTCTTTTCCAGTTATCTATCAAAAGTTTTAAAACACACTATGGTATTTTTCACTGTTAGGATTGAAGACTGGATTTCCTTTTTTTAAAGTTTTAAATACTTTTTTTCACTATTTCAGGTTCAACATTCATTTGAGACCCCAACTATACTGACACAGATGCCTACAATTGAAAGAGTATCCATGACACGATATTTCTACCTCTTCCCTGGGAATTAAAACACGTGAAAGCCTCTCAGGTAAACATATCTATGATGTGAATTCGGGTTCTCCCTGCTCAGAGTCTGTACAGAATGACTGGATAAGAATAAAGAACAATAAATAAACACTATTTACTTGTTACTGAGGGTCATTTTTACATTTTCTTAAGGGCCTCTGGTGAATCCCTGGATTTATTTGCCCTCAACTGTGCTATAATAGTTGTATGAGAAGTGATTAGTCTAGTAGTGACCAGCTGAAAAAAACTTCATGTAAAAATTTTTTTTTTCGAAGAACCACTCAGTCACTGTAAAGAACGGTTGGTTCTGAGAAATACACAAAATGGAAAAATTGGAAGTGCTATATGCAGTTCGTTTTTGGACTCCTCACCAAAAGTCAGTTTTGCTGAGTCACATCTTCCTTGTTTATAATGAGGCTGACCTATACCACAGCATGAACTGAGAAGCTGCTGCCACTATACTGAAGCAAGGTGCATCAGTCCCTGCCATTGGCAGGACCACATCTCTTTTGTAAAGAAATTTCTAACTGCAGAAATTAGTTCCATTGATACCTTAACTGTAATAGTCTGGATATCCATATTCTATTTTTTCAAGGTAAACGAAGCCATTGGGGTCTCTATGAATCAATTATTTTAAAGATCAAATTTTGATCAGGAATATTTTATACAAAACTTATCAACTGATAACTTTTCACAAATACCAGAGTAAAGTCATTATCACACTATCACTGAATTAATGCATAATATGCATTTTAAAAAACTTATTGTCTCGTTTTACCACAAAACAACAGAGATTTAGTTCAGTGGTGCCACCGCCTGCCTCATTTCACCATGAAAGAAAGTCATACTAAATTTAGATATAAAATTCAGGTATTAAACCCGTTAAAGGAAGCTTTTAGTGAAGAAATAATCATTGCTAACTGACCTTTTTGAAAACTTGTTAAAAACTCAAATTGTTTTTATATAGTTAATTTTTCCTTTTCTGAAAATCTCTTTGGGAAGAACTCAACTTATTTTTATATAGTTCATTTACTTTTATAGTCACAATTTTGTGTATTTTTCCTTATTTTTTCAAACCATTATTAATTGCAATAAAATAGTCCCTAAATTTGATTTTTATTTATAATACATATTAGACATATAGAATAATACCATTTTACCTTCACACTATTTGCAGATGCTGTTTTCAATATTTATTTCCTACACCCATGTGACGATGAATTTTTTTTTTTACTTCAGTCCAGAAATAAGTTTATTTTCTTTGAATACATTCCATAAAATTATCTTATTGGATACATATCTAAATACTTTTATAACTTTGGATAACTTTTTGTCAGATCTTTATGCCAAATTATATGCAAACAAGCAATCTAATTACTAATAAGCAGATACATGTTTCTTTTTAAAGCTAATTGAATAGATTTAAAACAAGAAAATTCATTGGCATAACTTTTTAAATAACATCATTAGACTTTCTAATGTTTTTATCAGCTAGAATTTGTGTGAATTATTAATTCATATGTTCTCTTTTATTTCCAGGTTTGTGTGTATTTTTTACAAATTTGTATAAGTCCTTTATATGTAATAATCATATTGGCTCACAGTCATATTTCTGCAAACATTTTACTTAGTTTTTCATCTTAAATTTTGTGGATATTATATAACATAAAGAATATTAAAGTTTTTAGTAATGGAATCCATTTACATGTCCTTCTGTTTTTAAACTTAAATATTGCCTTACCACCTTTAATTTTTAAATTAAAGATATTTTAAAATATCTTATTTTTCTGTAAACTATAAGAATTGATTGTTCTCTAGTAAATCTATTTGGTATGAATTGTGGGACAAAAACATTTACTTTAAATGAATTGCTAATCATTAAAGATATAACACTTTTTATCATATTTCTTGTTTCTACAATATTGACATTGTCATTTGAATTTAGAGTCTACTATGAGCTCTTTTGGGGGACTGTAAAAGAAAGACACTCGGCTTGGCATTTACTTTAGGGACTATTTTAATCCTTAAAAACCCACTTTTCTTTAAAAGAAAAGATTTTGATATATGCAACAGGTAATCTCATATTTATCCAAGGTAAGAAAAAAAAGTCAGGTACAGAATCTTCAAATCTAGTCTAGAAAAGAGAAAATGAGATAACCATTCCCTCTGAATAAAATTACCAATACATAATGAGTTCTTTTAAGTCTTGCATTTAAAAGTTATTAATTGTGGCACTTTTAATAAATTATTGGACTTCTCTGACACCATTGTCCAGATATTAAGTGGGTGGACTGACACCTGACTTATTGAGCAGGTGCAGTACTATGTGCAATTAGTGCTCCCTATAAGCAGTGCCTGTCACATAGTGGGCAACTGTTTATGGCAGAAATCATCAGATTCCATGCATCAATTTGTTTTTCAGGGCTTATTACATATCACAACGTGAATTATTATTGTTTGATCATCTTTATTAACCCTACCTTGTTTATAACCTCCTTAGTTACGTTAGTATTGTATATGCTTCCAGGTGAAATTTAGAATAATCTTGAAAATTCTGACAACTGAAATAAAGTTTTAATGGGATTTAAATGTGTATATTTGATTATGTAGAACTTCAGTTTAAGAATTCTTTGTTACATAGTCTTTATTTTTAAAGTTTATATTTTTCTTTGAATAACCTCCTCAAATTTCTGACTAAAGATATTACTAAATATATTGAATTTTGCCCCTATTTGAATAAGATTTCTTTTCCTTCATAGTTTCCAACTGAGTATTGCTGCAGCTGCTGCGAAGAAAAGGAAATGGCAACCTCCCTTGATGCTTAAATGTAAAAGATCTTGCATTCACCAGCTTCACTGAACATCCACTGATCTAGACAATTTTTCCTTAGATTTTTATTTTTTTTACTAATGCATGTTTATGATACATAATGAATATATTCATTGTGGGGAGTTGGTATATGTATGTATCACCTCTTAATCCTTTTTACTTCTCTTTTTCTTCTTTTCTTTACCCTCTCCCTCTATCCCTAGATCCTGTTCCTGTCTGCATAAGGTTCAACAAATTATAGATTTGATTCTTTCTGGCCAGTATTCACAGCGTTTATTTCCTTTTGTGAATTTTTATATTTATCACATCTCTAGATATAATAGCCAAGTATGACAATAAGACTGGTCATTCTTTATTATTTAAATAAAAATACTTTCAGTATTTCAACATTAGAGTGTGTTCTATTGTTTAAGTTCATCTTCATAATAATAAAATATGTTTACATTGCTATTTTTTAATTAATTTTATTGGTACATTTAAAGTATACAATATAATGAGATTCATCATTGGAAATTTGCACCTTTACATAATCCATCTTGGTTCTTATTTTTTCCCCATTCCCCTGGGTCTTGTTGTAGAACAAAAGAAGTCAAAATGTTAATTATTGTATTTTGAGTACTGATACAGTTATATTACCAAGAGACCTAATTTCAACTAGTGATTACAATCTTGGGATGATAGTTTATTTGCTATGGAGCATTTTTCACTTACTCTTCATTTAAATAATGTTGCCAATATTTAACTGAGAATTCCTAAATTTGTATTTATAAACATATACTTATTTCTAGGGATTTTGACTTATTTTTAATTTAGCCAAATTTAATTTTAATATTTCTCAAAGAACTATGAGAACTATTTTTATTAACCCTAGACTATCTGAAAATGTTTAAAATGTAATTTTAAATAAATTACCAGTTTCAGACTGAATGTGCATAGTCATTCTTTCAACTTTCAATCTTCAGCAGCTGAACCCCTAGTTATAAAAAATTAAAAACTATCTCAATTTTGAGAACATAACCAATTTATGCAAATGTATCCAGTTAGAATTAAAGTTATAAAGAAGGAAGTAAAAATAACTTGTGTTCCACAAGCTGAGTTTGTTTTTCACATTTCCAACTTCCTGACTTTCTTTCTCTTTCTCCTCATATAGAAACTCACAGGTATATAACATACTGTGCAAGATGCTCTCCGACTTCCTTTTTAATTTTTCTTAAAATTAATTTTTCTTTTAATTTTTAATTTTTCTTAAAATGATCATCTAAGATTAAAGTGAGTGACAAAGGTGTGTAAAATCAGTATATGAACAACATAAATTTGAAAGTCAAAGAGAAGGTCTAGGGCTAAAATGAGGGCTCCATGGTTTGTTCAAGCAAGTAATCCTTTCTTTCTCTTTTTCCCTAGTGGAGCTAAATCATTACTATCCTTAGCACTTCAGCCAGCATGAATGAAGACAGATATACACAAAAGAAACACATAACTAATCTCTGTCAGGCAGTCTACTATGTTCATAAACAGTTAATCAGAATTCAGTCACATGGTTGGCATAGAGCTGAAAAATGAAGGGTTTATTGCATATTGGCCAACTGCCTACCTAAAATTTGAGGATTCTATTAGCAAATAGAGAAAAGCCTCAATTGAGTGTGTGTTTTACATTATTTCTGTATTTAATGACTGCCTAGTTTGCCTTGTAATTGGCATAGTAAAATGTATTTTACTAATTTAGGTAATCCCTGAACTTATTACTTTAACCCCTTCTAAAATAGAAATAAATTTCCATATTTTCATCATTGTGATAAATAAGCAATTTTATTATCAAGTGAAAAATAAAATCACTTTAATTTTTATTTCTTTGCTCTATGAAATGGCTAAGCATCTTTTCATATACTTATTGTTCACTGTGTACAAGTCAGATATTAGGTGGTGCCTCCTCTTGTCCACTATTCATAGTTGTCTTAAACTTATAAGAACTAACTCCATATTGAGGCCATACTCTTAAGTGAAATAAATAGGACACACGTGTAAATATCGAATTGTTTCTCTGGTGTGAGAAACTGAAAGTGTAAATAAGGATTAAAATGATTAAAATGAATAATTGATAATTTGAAATAGGAAAAGGTCCAAAGGTCTACGGGTGGTGGGAAGGGAAGAGGAAAGGGAAGAAGGGAAAGAAAAATTATGAAAAAAGAAAAAAAAATGGAAATGATGTCTATGTAAATAGGGAAGGGTGGAGGGGCTGAAGGGCAGACAGGTAATGGGGAAAAAAATAAGAACTAAGATACATCATGTACAGGTACAAGCACCCAATGATAAATGTAAACGTATTGTATACCTAAAATGTACCAATAAAATAATAATAATAATAAAAAGAACTAACTCCTGGGCTAAATCTGGGGCCTTACCTCTTCCCTTTCAAACACAGTATCAGAATTTTCTAAGTTCTATACCTAGAGCAACCCTCCTTCCCATCCTAGATCCACATGACTTATTACCCAACTTATTTCCATCTATGTGAAATTGACACTTTATCAAGTAAGTCCTTCCTATAACAACATACCCTCTCTTACTCTGATCTCCCTATATCCTTTTCTCTTTTATTTGTCTTGCACTGATAGGACACACTGTATAGTTATTTTATCTTCCCATAAGAAAATAAGCTCCCCAACCCAGGAATTTTGTCATCATATTTGCCATGCTTAAAACCATGACTGGTATAAAACAGATGCTCAGTAATTCTTTACTAGATAAATTAATATATATAGAAAATGTTATACTGTGGAACTATGAGATTGATACTGTAATATATTTAACAAATGTTTTTGCAACACACAATTAGGTCTTGTTTTATTTGAGATATTTTATCCTATTTTATCAAATATATTCCATTTTCTCCTAATTTTTTCTTAGGAAATATATTGTTTCATATTAGATATTCATAATATATCTTTTTTTCATAGCCAAAACTATTCCATTTAAAAAATAGCATTTTAACAACATTCTTTTATTGATTCAAAAGTACTCTTCAATGATATAAAAATGAACAAGATAGACAAATTCTACTTAAATAGAGCTATTTGAAACAGACATCCAGAATAAATAATGTAAAGGGAATAAAAGAATTTTAGTCCAGCTCTCTTTCCCTTTCCAGATCCATTGTGTTGACGGCTAGCATTTCTATCTTCACTCTTGCACTTACTGGATACCCAGTAAGCTTTGCAACTTAATTCTTTTCTTGCTCCCTCTACATCTACCCAATTTCTTAATTCTTTTCTTGCTCCCTCTACATCTACCCAATCACCTAGTGTGCCAACTCTGTTTTCAGACCCATTCTTTTCTCTCCAAGCTCATTCTTACATTTAAGTCAGCTCTCTTTTACCTGTCATCAGAAATAGTGCATAAACTGATTGCTGATCAGTCTAGATCCAGATCTCTTTCCTTCCAACATTCAGACTACCACTAGAAAGACCATATAGAAAAGCATGCCACTCCATCAGTTCTCTAATTCTCTGTCCTCAGAAAATAATACGTATTGCCATAGTTCACAACCTTCATGTGACCATACTTCCTTTGATTTTCCTTTCTCTTTTGAAGCTTAGAGACACATTTTATATACCTCTGTGTGCTCCATGAGCTTTATGATGCTCTTCTTGTCAGAAATGACCACTCCTCTAATCCCAAAACCCTTCTAACCATTGAATCTCTGATTCTTTCTCATCACAATAAACATAAAATTAGCATCAATGATAGTGGGCACACGAGCATGAAAAAATAATCATTTCTATCATTTTTATTTATTTTAGGAGGCTCACAATAGACTCTACAATCATTTTACCATTGGAGATCTAGTTCAGATACTGGCTCTTCAAAGAAATTTTCTTAATAATTTTCTCCCATCTATTGAAATACCCCTCCAACATATTTTCATGTTTCTGAGAAGCAGTATTTATCAGAGATCAAGTAGGGGAAAAACTTAGCACTCTATGTACATAAATAGTTGGCATTTAATCCAGTGCTGTGATACTGAAAACAATATATTGAAAAAACCCCAAGATACTTTCAGGAAGCATCTATCATTCCTAAATTGAAAAAAATCAAAGAAGTAGTTGGGATTATCAGAACCTAATTATTTGCAGAGGAGCAGCCCTGAAAAATTAGGTCTCATTCTGTGAGGAATGGGAACATTTGACTTGCTATTCATATTTTGAAGCTTGGACATCGGGCTCCATGAAATAGTCTTCAAAACTCTCAGGAGAAGAACCCATCATCTACTGTGAGTCGTTTAAACAAGAGTGATTAGACTGTTCTAAGAGTGTTGGAATAAGCCAGGATCTAAAATTAACCACCAATTTGAAGTAGAGCAGCATTTTTGGCCCAGTGTTGAAGTAAATAAGTTCATTTCTCTCATTTATGCTTTCTAATCTCTTTTTTGGTTGTCATTGGAAAAACCTAATAGGAAGCTGGCTAAGAAAAATATGATTTTTAAAGTTCTAGCCCAAATAACATACAGCAGGTTATTAAGAAGTGAAATTTAAATTGATAAATAATAACTGAAAGGTAGAAGGGAAGCGTAAAAAGGGGTAACAGAAAATATGGATATTATAAAAATATATTGTATTTATATATGCAAATACTACATTGAAACAATATTTTATAAAAGTACTATGCAATAATGAAGCTAATTTTCGATTTTTTTAATTTTTTTTTTTTTCGGTAGCAGGAATCAAACTCGGACCTTGCGCTTTCCAGGTAGGTGCAGTGCCATTGAGCCACATCCTGGCCTGATTATATTTTGAAAAATATTGAATTAATAACTGTCACAGTGCACTACAGTAACCTGTTTAGCTTGTCAAAATCATTCTGTACCTCTTTTCTTAGTACATTAATACACACATGCAAAAATACCAGGTTGTTCATATCTGCATCATTCAGGATTTGATTAGAAAAGCAGAATCATCTGGATGTTAAATGGTCTAGGTGAGGCTGAAACTTCTGTGTCTCTGGTTGGACCTTGAAGGTTACAGGGTAAGCAAATGGTGTACAAAGATGGACTTGATGTGCAGAAATCAAGACAAGTGAAAACTTGCAAAGATCAGCTAGAAACCAAGAGAAGGAAATGAACTCATACCAGTCTCTTACTGATTCTAAGCCTCCAAATTTAGACATGAATGTGTCTTGCATGGGAAGCCAATACCAAACTTATTCTTCAAATTAAATATTCATTTGACCCAGAAAGAGAAAAAATATGAAAAAGAAAATCTGGATCTGGAGGAGCTGTGGGTCTGGTTGCTTCCCTGGGCTAGCAAGACCAGCAGCAACATACCTAAGCTACAAAGTAAGTCATGTCCCTCACCAACTTTCCATGCTTAAAAATAACATGAATATCACTTCACTTTCA